GGACCCCAGTCATGTCCAGGACCATGTCTGTGCACAGCCACAATCAGCCTAAATTGGTCAGATCTTCATCTGGTGGCAGGCAGTTTCAGGCTTTCTGGGAAGCAAACCTGGCAGGGAACAGTGCAGGACACTTGAGCTGGCAAAGAGAAGCCTAGGGACAGAGACCGGACCTGAGGCTGGCCCTGCTCCGATGGACCTAACCATGGTTTTATCCTCTGGTTCTTCAGCCCCCTGTACCCAGGCCAGAAATTCAGCCTAGGTTAGCAAACTGCAGAGGTCACAGGTCCTGCCTGGGCAGGGCAGAGGTGCTGAGGCTTAAGGCAGGTGCTGGTTGGATCCGGTTTCCAGAGGCTATATATATATATACACAAAGGCTGCTGCTCTCTGTGGGGCAACACCCGAGAAGCCCAGCCAGCCTAGCATTCCTGCCCCGGAGCCAGCTCTCCATTTATAGCCCCTGGGCAGACCAGCCAAAGGGGGCTGAGAGACAAGGCCTGGGAAGGACAGGGGGAGAATCGAAGGAGCCTCCTATGAGCACAGGAGAATGGAGGCCCAGGGTGAGCTGTGTGCTTCTCTAGGACACGGGGCCTACAGCCTAAAAGGCCCTACATTGAAAGGACACTGCCTCAGCCATAGCCAATGGCATCCTCCAGGACAAGTGACTGGGGGGAGGTTTTGATGACCATAAAACAAAAACAAAACAAAAAAAAAGTTGTAATCACTTAGTCTCAACATAAAATTTATTTCTGGGTTTTTTTCTTTGTTGTTTTGTTTTTGCTTTTGTGTTGTTGTTTTGTTTTTTGTTGTTGTGGGGTTTTTTGTTTTGTTTTGTTTTGTTTTGTTTTTTGCTGCTCAGATTTAACGAAGGAAAAAAAACACTAGATTTGCACAAGTGGGTTGAAGTTCTTCCTTGGAGACACTGGGCCCTGCATAATGCAACAGAATTGCTCATTTCTCGACCAAGAAATATGTATGGAGTGCCTACTGTGTGCTGAGCACATTCAGTCTAGGTTCAAAAGAGCAGGAAACAAATGTTTCCGTCTAAATCATTACTAAGAGCAATTATTTGTATTCTTCGTTGTAAATTGAAGTCAAATGAAAAGGCCTTTACAATGAACACCACATCTCTGTGTAGCCTCTGTTCCAGTGTTTCAACAGGTGTGCATAACGGTCCAATGTAGAGGAGTGCATCCCAGGCAGGCCAGCCTCTGCTTTGTCTGGGAAGAGCCAGTGTGAAACCATGTGTGAACAGTCATCTACATGGTGCCCAATGCTGATAAAATAGAATTGTGCCACAGTTCACTAAATTCAAATACAAGGGTGGGTATCAGAAGAGCCCAAGACTGCTTGACGCCCAAGACGCACTTGACACTTGCCAAGCACCCCTTGTGGAATCACTGCTGCAGTGGCTTCTAAAAACACCACAGAGAAGAGAACATCCCATGTCAGGGTTGTCTTCACGTCCCTCAGTGAACACACTAAGATCATTATAGAGGAAAGACTGAGTGATATTCACCAAGCCTCGGAAGAAATGGCCAGAGACATCCCAAAGGCCACACTGGAGTTGAGACCCGAGACCTGAGAAGCTGCCAATCACAGTGAGGGCCAGGGGAGAGGGTGGCAGGCTTGGAGCTGCAGGCACAAGACTCCATGACTCCAAGGGAGGCTGTGCAGTGCTGAAAGAAGGGAAGGCAGCCAGCCAGAACCAGGCCGCCTAAGGGGCGAGTGGCTCCGGGTGAAGCTGTGGAGACAGGCTGAGCAGGGCTCCTCAACGGCCATGCAGTTGGGCAAGGAGATGAGATTTTCAACTGGGCACAATGGTAAGCAGGTGCAAAGAGCTGCTCTGTCATTCATTCCCTCAGGCCGCTGTGCAGGAGCTGGGACAAGTATGCTAGTGAAGAGAAAAGATTAGTGGGGCCATCTATGCCACAAAGGGCAGGAGTTAGCGTAGTCTAGATGGCGACCTCAAGAGTGACACACCTAGCAGTGTGTTCAGGAAGACTGGGCAGGTCTTCACCACACCCAGCCTCCCCTCTGGACCCACCGCTGCGTGGGCTCCTCTCTGAGGCCACATCTCCACCTGGATGTTTATTATGAATTTCAAATTTTCCCAAATTGGATCTTTGATCTGACACTCACAGGCCCACTATTTCCCAGTTCCATTGTCCAAAAGCTATCTTTAATGTGTCTCTTGTTCCTGTGTCCACATCCAACCGTAAAGAAATCTTGCTTGTCTTTAATTTTAAAGATTTGAAAGTTTGTATGTACATGAGTGCTTTGCCTGCATGTATTTTTGTGACCTGCCCAGATCAGAAGAGGGCATCAGATGCCTTAAACTGGGGGTAGAGTCAACTGTGAACAAGCACATGTTTGCTGGGAATCAAACCCAGATCCTCTGCCAGAGCAGTGAGTGAGCTTAACTGCTGGACTACCTCATCTCTCCAAGCGCAGCTCCATCTTGAGAACATATCTGGAACTCAGTCGCTTTTCGCTAGATTCACTTCGCCTCCCAAAGCCAAGCAACCACCTGAGAAGCCATGGTCACTCATCTGGACTGTGGCAGTGCCTTCCGAAAAGAAAGTCCTTCCTCATACCTATAAAGCTCTGAGCTGAGACCCCATGCAGCCAATCCTGGGGCAAGTCCAGAGAGGAAGACTAAAGCTGAGAGCAGCAAGGATGAGACTCCGAGGCTGAATCCTCTTCAGGGATAGAGGAGAAGGAGAAAGAGGAGGAAGAGGGGAGAAGAAAAAGGAAGAGGAGGAGGAGGACTGGAAAAACCTGGAATGGAGCTGTTAAGGAGAATGGTGGCTCTCAGTCAAGTTGGGGACACAAACTGAGTTCGTGCCTACTTGCTGTTCCTTAAACCTGTCAAGCATAGTCCTGTCCCAGGACCTTTGCACATCTTTGTAGTGGCTTCTGTCTCCCTTCATACAGACCACTACAGAAACACAACCATCCCAGAGAAGCCCTCCCTCGCTGCCAAAATAAAAATTATTTCTTGCTTTGCTTTATTATTATTATTGTAGAATTTGTAAACCCCTGACACCACAAATTTCCTGCTTGCTTGTCTGTCATCCTTCCTTATAACATAAACACTATGTGAATAGGGCCTTGGTTTTGTTCACTGCCGTGTCCCCAACAGCAGGACCAGTATTTGGTGTATGGTAGATAAGCCACAATTAATGCTGAATGAATAAACAAAGGCAAAACCATGGAATAAAGAGGGCAGATGGTTGGCACCAGTGTCAGAGATGTGAAAACAGTTGGACTCCAAAAGAGGTTCTTGGGTTTGTCTGATGGGTAGAGAGGGCTTCCCAGTTTGTAGAAGGGCCAGCTAAGATGGCTTCCAGAAGTTCGTGGGAAAGACATCTACATCACCCTTGCTTAGATCTCAGAGAAGACATGGCAGGAGTGTGCCAAGGAAGACGTCTAACCAAAGCCCCAATAAGCATGAGCATCCCAGGGTGCGGTGTGCTGGGGCTTTTAGGGGAGCCAGGGTTCCAGTGAGGGTTGCTCCCTCCCAGGAGAGCCTGCTGGGAAGAGACACAGCAGAAGTCTCCGGAGGAGCAGAGGAGGAGCAGAGCCTCGCAGGCTCCGCCGGGGCTGGCGTCTCAGGCAAAGGCTAAGGAGCTTGCTGGGCATCCTGTGTAAGCAGGTGCTGGGACAGAGCCCTCCCACGGCACAGCCATGCACCCCACCCGCTTAGGATTCTCAACCGTCACCACAGTTACCCCCAGACACTGTCACTCTTCCTGGATATGAAGTGGAAAGAGACCTGCGAAGAGGTCATCCTCACAAAATTGTGCAGGCTACGGTAGGTGGGTAGGTGATGTCCTCAAGCCATGTCCTGGACCTCATGACCCTTGAGAAAGGCACTTCCCACGGCTCACCTCAGAGCAAGAGGGCACAAGTCTGCGGCAAACAGGTTTTCTTCTTAGCTGTAGAAACAGATCAACCTAGAGCCTGGGAGGCTCATTAGATGCAAAAGAAATCCTGCTCAGAGCGAGCAAGTTGAGGGGAACCTCCCTCTCCCCTCTCTCCTTATCTCCCTCTCTTCTCCCCTCCTTCCCGCCCTCTCTCCCTCTTCTGTACACCCTGAGTTTGAGTAGAATGGCTTAAAGTTTTAATGGTGACTCCCATTACGCATAGACAGCACTGGGGTTCTAGGCTTCCTGTGGGAGATGGGCAAGACCAGATTCTCTCCGGGGCCAGGCCCAGATGGGGAAGGAGCCAGCTCACCGCCACCAACTCCTCTGTCTCAAACTTGCCCACTTAGGCCTTCTGAGTCTCACTTAGTCCTTGGCTCAACTTCGCTGAGCGCGTCACCATTTCACTGCTTCTTTTCTGGAGGTTTCTTTGCGTCGTGGCCTTGGGTCTCTCTCCAAACCTCCTGCGATATGATTTCTAATTCCTATGCTGTGCGTGGTCTCCCCACGAATCTGGGGACAGAGCGGGGTCCGAGGTGAGCCCAGAAGCGAGCGGGGCGGCAGCGGCCGGGCTGCAGCGGTTGTAAGAGAAAGCCCTGGTGAGGCTTGGACGGGCTGCACCGACAGCCACGTGCTACAGCTTCTGGCTGCCACTCTCGGCCCTCCTTCCCAGCTAGGCAGCTGCCCCAGCCCAGAGCCGCAGGAGGGGCACTCCCCGGCCCCAGTGGCTACTCCGAGGACCCCAAGCTCCGCCCTACCGCACTCCTATTGGCTTGGGGCGCCCCCGCCCCCAGCCTCCCGGGCTCCTGAGCTTTTAGGCCACCCTGGATAAATAGCCCCGGGCGCCTGGCGCGAAGCTAGGGGCGAGGACGCCCCAGGGCGCGACTGCTGTCTTCACCAAGTTTCGGAAGAGACAGGACGGGGAGGGGCGGCAGAGGGCAGCCGGTGGGTGTGCGTTCCCATCCTCGGCACTTTGGCCCTGCCCTGCTTGGTTCAGGAGTGGCAGAAAGTTAAGACGACTCCCGCGGCTTGGCTTGAGCCAGAGGCGGGACCGAGAAGCCCAGGAGCTGGGATATGGAGCTACTGTCGCCGCCGCTCCGGGACGTCGACTTGACAGGCCCCGACGGCTCCCTCTGCTCCTTTGCCACAGCCGACGACTTCTACGATGATCCGTGTTTCGACTCCCCCGACCTGCGCTTTTTTGAGGACCTGGACCCGCGCCTGATGCACGTGGGGGCCCTGCTGAGGCCGGAGGAGCACACGCACTTCCCCGCTGTGGGGCCCCCGGGCCCGGGCGCCCGCGAGGACGAGCATGTGCGCGCGCCCAGCGGGCACCACCAGGCGGGGCGCTGCCTGCTGTGGGCCTGCAAGGCGTGCAAGCGCAAGACCACCAACGCCGACCGCCGCAAGGCCGCCACCATGCGCGAGCGGCGCCGCCTGAGCAAGGTGAACGAGGCCTTCGAGACGCTCAAGCGCTGCACGTCCAGCAACCCGAACCAGAGGCTGCCCAAGGTGGAGATCCTGCGCAACGCCATCCGCTACATCGAGGGCCTGCAGGCCCTGCTGCGCGACCAGGACACCGCGCCCCCTGGCGCCGCCGCCTTCTACGCCCCGGGCCCGCTGCCCCCGGGCCCGGGCGGCGAGCACTACAGCGGAGACTCGGACGCGTCCAGCCCGCGCTCCAGCTGCTCGGACGGCATGGTGAGGCCGGGAACCAGGAGGGCAGGCGCGGGCGGCACTTGGGGTGCTGGGCTGTCCCCGCACGTCTCCGAAGCCCTGGAGGTGGGGGTGTCCTTTAGACCCAGGTGTCACTGGCGTCTGTCACTGCGGCCGTTTTGGAGACCCAGGGCAGCTGCGATTCTGCCCGCTGGGGGTGCTGCGTAGACGCAGGGTGCGCTTCCCCCTCAAATCCTCCTTTACCGAAGCGCGCGTTTCCTTCCCGGGCGGCCGGCCACGCTAGGTCTAGCCCTGCACGCCACAGCTTCAGTGTGCGTTCCCACCTCCTACCTGGGGCCGACGCGGCCCGGCACCCGGCCGGGAGGGAGGAGGGGCGGGCCCGGGCTGACTCGGTCTCCTTGCCGTTCGCAGACGGATTACAGCGGCCCCGCGAACGGCCCCCGGCGGCGGCCCGGCTACGACGCGGCCTACTACAGCCAGGCGTCCAGCGGTGCGTATTCCCAGCCGCCAGCAGCCTCCACCCGCCCTCCCGACCCCAACACGTCCTTGCTCGCTAAGCCCAGTCTCCCTCCCCGTCTACACACACACACACACACACACACACACGCACGCACGCACGCACGCACACACACGCACGCACGCACACATGCAGGCACACGCACACACACACGCACACACACGCACGCACATGCACATCTTGGGATGGTGTTTGGAGCGGGGAGCTAGCAAGTGCGACTTGCACCGTCCTCTCCTTTCCCCTTGCAGTCTGGCAGGTCCTCAGTTTCCCTCCTGCCCCAAAGCCTTGTGCCTAGCAGAAGACTTGGAGAGACTCGGGCTGGGTTGCTCACCTTCCCCTCCTCTCGCAGAGCCCAGGACCGGGAAGAGCGCGGCGGTGTCTAGCCTCGACTGCCTGTCGAGCATCGTGGAGCGCATCTCCACCGCCAGCCCCGCGGCGCCTGCGCTGCTCCTGGCCGACGCCTCGCCAGAGTCGCCTCCGGCCCCTCCGGAAGGGGCTTCCCCAAGCGACGCAGAACAGGGGGCTCAGACTTCGCCCCCCGACGCCGACCCTCAGGGCCCCGCAGGCTCCAACCCCGATCCGATCTACCAGGCGCTGTGAGAGGCAGGCCGCAGAGGGGCGCCGGCCGCTCTCCCGGACGGTGCCTTCGGTCCCCGGCCAAAGATGAAGCTTAGACGACGCGCCTCCCAAGCTCCCTTTCGAAGCCAAGCACCCAGAAGCTGGGGAATGGCAGGTCAGAAGGTGTGCCCACATTCAGCCCCGAGGAAAAGACGCAGTTCGCTGTTTGTTGTCGGGTTTTGTTTGTTTGTTTGTTTGTTTGCTTTATGCGACTCACAGCAACGGCCACTTGCTGTCCCTCAGTGGGCCAGAGCGGATCCTCAGAGCCCCTCGCAGGGGTGAGCTCCGCCCGCACTCCACACGGTCCCCACGTCCCGGGTCCCTCCTGGCACCCACCCTCTCCCCCCGCCCGCGGAGGCCGCTCCAGTCCCGCGCCTAACAGGTGTGACCATGCCCCCCCCCCCGCGGTTCAGGACCACTTATTTTTTATATGAGACTTTTGTAATCTATTCGTGTAAATAAGAGCTGCTTGGCCAGAGCCGGAGCCTTGGGCTGTATTTATCTCCGCGGCGTGCTGTGTAGTGCGACACAAGCTTTGTGTGTTTATTCCCCCGGCGGGCGAGCCGCGGGCTCCCTCGCTCAGGTGTTGGAAATAAAGACGCTAATTTATAGAGCGGCGGCTCTGGCTCTGCCTGGGCGAGGTCGGGGAGCAGACACGGCGCAGGCCGGGCGGGCTGTCTCGCAGCGACCTCTGCAGGTGGCAGAGGGGAGCGCGGGCGCTTCCTGCGGCTGGGCGGTGAGGGCGGCGAGGCCTGGCTCCCGCGGTCGGGACCCCCTTCCGCCGCCTCGCCCGAAGAAACAAGAGCTTCCAGCGCACGGATGCGCACAGGCTGAGGTGAGTTTAAAGATTTACACCCGGATACGGCGGCTCCGCCCTGTAATCTCGGCACGCGGGAGGCTGAGGCACGCCAGCCTGGCTACAGAGACCCCGCCTCAAAACAAACAGCCTCTTCAAAACACCCGTTAAAAGTCGGTGCTGAGGAGGTGGCTCGGTTGACGGAGCACCTGCCCAGCACGCATGGAACTCTGGGCTCCGTCCCCAGCGCCATATAAACCTGTCACGGGGGGGCGGGAGGGGCGGGGCACAGCCGTAGCCTCAACACCCAGGGGTAGCACAGAAAAAGCAAAAGTTCCCTGTCATCCTCGGCGACACAGCCAGCTCCAGGCCATCCTGGGGTACATGGCACTCTTCCTATAGACCGATTAATTGATTCATTAAGAATCTAGCTCCGCCCACCTGAGATTCTGACCCAGTGAGTGTGTCCAGGACCAGTCATTGCTGTTTTCCAAATCTCCTTCCAGGGACTGGGAAGTGCGGGCTAGGCTGAGAATGGTTCCCCTCCACACAGTGTTTCAGAGGTCTGTGGGGGTTACGGCAACGCCCTCACAAGTGTGGGGGCGGTGGGGCACTACGGTGCAAGAAGAGATAGCCAAAGGGCCCTGGAGACACGTGTAAGCCTCATGGTCCACGTGAGCTCTTCTGCTGCTGTAAGAGCGTGGAGACAGCACAGCCAGGAGCCTGTATCAGAGCACCTACTGCTGCCTCACCTCAGAGCCTGTGGGGACAGGACACTGGGACCAGCGTGTCCCTAATGTGTCCTCATCAGGCTGTGCTGAGGGCGGGGGGGGCGCATTAGTGCAAGGAGGGTGTCCTGGACAACACGCTGTGCCAGCTGTGTGGGAGAAACAAAAGGAGACAACACGCCGTGGAGGTGAAGGGAACCCGCGCCGGGGACCGCCACCCTCCCCTGGAACGGCCTGACAGTTCTCCCTCACAACACTTGTCCGGGTCCTCAGTACCTCCTGCCCACTGTCCCAACAGACCCTCATCCTGGTTGTCCAGGCTCAAGGCTTAGAAGAGCCGCTTCAGGAAGGACCACCCGAGAGTGGGCGGGCGCCGGCCCGGAACACCAGCCCAGAGAGCTGCTCAGCGCCTGTCCACTGCTGTGATGCTCCATCTGCCTCCCAGTGCTCCTCAGGGTTCCTCACAGACTCCCTAGAGGCCCCTGGGGGTCAGTCACGACTTTGTCCATCCGACAGATGCCAAGTCCTGTGCTGGAGGGGAAGAGGCCACTGGACACACTCCCTGCCATTGGGAAGCGCCCAGACACCTGGGGGTCGGCTCTCCATAGGTGGCCCCATCATGATCAGTGAAGCGTAGAACACAGACTGTGGGAGAGGACAGGAGAGCCAGCACGGGGGGAGGGGGGAGGACACCAGCAGAATCAGAATTCTGAAGGGACTGGACAGAGAGAGTGCTTAAAACTGAGGACACATCGAGCACACAGGGAGGGGCCTCCCCAGGGCATCACGGAATCCGGAGGAGGAATCGGCACAGGGAAGGAACAGAGATAAAGGTGTATTTCAGAAAGATCCGTTTGGATTGCTAAAACGGACAGGAGGGAACAAGAGGAGACAGGAAGACGTTTGTGATTTTCCTGGGGAGAGGTGAGCAAATATCACCTCAGACAGAGAAGGAGCCAGCAGCTCAAAGAAAGGCTCCATGCAGTCTGGCAAATGGATGTGCTGGATCACTTACAGTGTGGGCAACCTGTGGGGAGACGCACAGTGAAATCCCGCCCCCACAAGAACTTTGAACATTTCTTTAGTGTGCACATGTGTGAATGTGTGTGTACGTGTGTGTGCTCTCCCAGGTGTGGGCGCTCATGTGCCGGTGCCATGGCGCACAGGAGAGGTCAGAAGACAGCTTGAAGGAATTCATCCTCTCTTTCCAGCACACTGGTTCCAGAGAGTGAACTCAGGTCATGGGGCTCAGTGGCACACACACACTTGGAGTGGGAATTACTAATGTAGTGAGCTGCCTCAGATGGTGCTGAGACCAAACTCCTAATAGCTGAACCACCTGCCCAGAATGGCTCCCAAACTTCAGGTGGCAACCCCTTTCACAGGGGCCACCTAGGACCACCAGACCACACAGCTTTTACATTATGATTCACAACAGTAGCAAAGCTACAGCGATGACATGAAGTAGCATCAGTAATAGTGTATATGGTTGGGGTCACCTCAACATGAGGGGCTGTACTGAAGGGCCAGCCAGGAAGGTTGAGGACCACTGCTCTAGCCCTTCTCGTCTGCTTTAGATTACAGGCATCTGGGCCAGGAGAGCATGTGATTGAATCTCGGGAAGGGACGAATGTGGAGACCTTTCCTCCCTCTCTCCAAGAGGGAATATTTGCAACCTCATTTCCAGAGACCAGCTGTACAAGTTTTCACTGTTTTGTTTTTGTTTTTGACTCGGGGTCTCACTCTGTAGCTAGGCTAGCCTGGAACTTATCAGGTCCCAAGCTGCCCTCAAACTCATGATAATCTTCCTTCTCCAGCCTGCCCTAGAGCTGGGGTTGCAGACATAAGCCACCACATTGGGCTTCCTCTTGCAAAGGTCTGTTTGTTCTGTGGTTCTGGCTTCTGATGTGCTGCTTCATGTTGGCAATGATCCTTTCAAGGGTAACGAAGTAGCTATACTACAAAGGACCTGTCCAGCGGCTGCTGGACTTCCTTGGGTGACACATGACTGGATGGCTTGTACGTGACAAATGATGCGCAAAGAAGAAGGGTGTCCACAGGTGGACGTAGGAGCACCAGGATGGCTGCCAGGTGAAAGGAGGGCTGCCCCTCCTCCCTGGAAGACTGCCCCGGCTTCTGCAGCAGAGGGCAGGCTGGACACTGGCCCCCACTCATTCCCAGCCTTGCACACCTGTGCAGCGACTAGCCATGGAGGGCTTCAGATCTTGGTTTGTCTCTCGGTGTGTTGTGGTGCCATTACAGAGGGGACACCGAACACGTCCAGCTGCCGCTGACAGAAATACTTAAACTAGTTTCAACTGTGCACGCCACGCTGTCTGCGAGCCAAGCCTGGATGCCCCTTGCTTTTCCATGCCCTTCCTTCTTACGTCATTTGCTTAGGGACTCCCCTTGTCTGCTCTGGTTTTGTTTAGAAATTTGAGAGTTGCCTTAGATCTCAAACTCTGGCTAGCACATTCCTAGTTGAAGAACTGTCTTCCTGGACCAGCATAGGTCCTGAGGTAGGATTTAAACCCTCGGGGGGCTCCCCTGCAGAGCAAGTCAGAAGAGAGCTGAGAAGAAGGGAGCTCTGGAATCTAGATCACACCTTGGAGGATGGGAAATGGAGTTTCTGTCTGTCCCTTCTCCAATTACCTCGGGAGCACCTATCGCCTCAGTTTTCTCTCTCTTTTCTCTCTCTCTCTCTCTTTCTTTCTCTCTCTTTCTTTCTCTCTCTCTCTCTCTTTCTTTCTCTCTCTTTCTTTCTTTCTTTCTTTCTTTCTTTCTTTCTTTCTTTCTTTCTTTCTTTCTGACAAGGTTTCTCTGTGCAGTCCTGGCTGTCCTGGAACTCACAGAGATCCTCCTGCCTCTGCCTCCCTGAGTGCTGGGATTATAGGTGTGCACCACGGCACACAGCTGCCTCTCCATTTTTCCCGTGCCCCTTGTGACTGGGATCCTTGTCCTGTGGCTGCCTCTGCGGAATTCCAGAGGCATGCTGCCCAGCTTGCGGGCATACACCTACATGCATTTGCTCACGTCATAGCTGTCTTAGTTACTTGCTGGGAAGAAACACCACACCAAGGCAGCCTTGTAGAAGGAAGAGTTTATTGAGGCTTGCTATGATTTCAGAGGGTTAGAGAGCATGACTGGGAAGCATGGCAGCAGGTCAGCAGACATGGCACTGGAGCTGAGAGCTTACATCTTCTCCACAGGAGTGAGGCAAAGGAAGAGAGAGAGAGGTGGGGGAGAGGGAGAGGACGAGAGAGAGAGAAGAGAGAGCACTCGGGTTGGAATGGACTTTAGAAACCTTAAAGCCCACCCCAGCAACACACCTTCTCCAATAAAGCCACACCTTCTAATCCTTCCTAAATAGTTACACAACCTGGGACCAAGTATTCAAATAAATGGGCTAAGGGCATCGATTCCCATCAAACCACCCAAATAACACACATCTACTTAAA